TGAATTAAAGGAGATTTTTTCAGAATATTATTGACCATCTCCATGGCCCTACCAAACGAATATTTCAGCCCCATTTGGCATCTCCTCATCCCTCTTCCATCTGAGGCTTGACTCCTTTTACTGACCTTGGTATTCCATGTTGTCTCTCTACGTGTCAATCGTTTCATCTTTTTCTCTCCCTAGCAAGAGGATCAAAGTCTGCAGGTCTTATCTGTGTAGTGAAAGGGTTAAATCCTTCCCAGGCTTGGCATAACTTGGCAGGCAGTTATGGTGTTGGATTTCAGGCCATGCTGTTGCCTGCCTGGCTCAGTCCTTGGCCTGAAGCTGTCTGTGTGGGGGGCGAAGGGTGGGGCAGGGAGGGACAGGGGGTGGTGTTGGTGAGATGTCAGTAGCTGTGGCCCAGGCCAGCCTGGGGCTGGAGCCCCACAGCCTCCATCCCCCACCCAGGAGGCACTGGGTTCTGGTCCAGCCCCCCCTCCTCAGGCCTCACAGGCTGTGGGGGAGCCGCTGGCCCCACTGTTACATTTTGCTGGCCGGAAGCAAAAAGAAAGAAGTTCCCGGGCTTGGATTTTTAAAAGGTGGTATTCACAGACGTGGACCTAAATTTCAATGGTACAAAATGCTGTCAGTTTTCAGAACTGGCCAGCTATTTGCCCGTCTCAGACATAGAGGAAGCTCCCAGCAGCTTTTCTCAAAGAAATTAACTTTCATGGGTGTTTCCCATTTCCTTCCCCAAATATCAATTAATGTCAAACTGCCACAATGATGTATTGTCAAATCTTTCTAGTGGCAGGCTGCACTATTGAAAGGTAGGTTGGTTGCAGGGTGAAACTTACTTTGCAATAAAAGATAATTTGTATTAGCCACTGAAACTGATGGGGTTTAAATAGGAATTTTCTTTTTGTACAGGATTATTTTTCTTGTGGAGAATAAAGAAATAGTCATTCCATGCAGAAAAAAATCCTGCAAGTCATGTGCACTTTCTGCACTTTCATATTGCTGCTTGAGAGCACTTAGGATGTAATTTTTCTATTATCTTAGAACATGCTAGGTTCAAACCAGGCATCTTTTATAAAGACAGGCAGGAGATTAAAAACATTAGAGAAGGGAAATAGTTTTTCATTTATCAATAGGTTACGTGATATTCACTGATACTGAAAAATACCTGTGCTTAAATGTAAAATTGCCCCATTGCCTGGAAGCATGCAGAGTGGGTACTGTGGGTCAGAAGAGACTGAGAAGACACCAGCCATGATTATGTTCCTTAAGTGATTAGAGATACTCCCTGGTGGTATCTTGGTGTTTCTTGTGTTAATTTTTGACTCGTATTTATATCACTTTTGGTAGACATGGAATTTATTCTTTGATGAAACAGAAACTTCAGCACAGTGTATATGGATATATCTAAAGGGATGCTGATGGCCTATGAGATAGATTTACCTCTTACTCCACTCTGTCTGTACAGAGAGATGGGAACTTCTGCTATGTTGTTCCATGTTTCCAGATGGTGAATTGAGTGGGACCTTAGTAGAATTTATGTATATTGTGTGTTTTGGGGCTTTTGGTCATATAGTGCCTGTTTGTAAAAGGGTGTGAACCAAGTTCATGCAATACTGTCTTTGAGGTCAGCTTGGTCTTTTTCTTCTGTTGAGTTACCATCATTATTTACACTCTTTTCCACAGCGAAGGCTTGTCCTCCTGGGAGAAATCCCTAACCATGTTGTCTCGTCAATTCCTGAATTCTCTACAGAGGCTTTCAGCTACAGTTTTATCTACAGTTATCAGAGCTATTACAGAAAGATGGAGAATTTTTTACCTGAAGGTTCACCACAGCTTTTCTTATTATCTAATACATATCTAGAGCTGGGGGGAAACAGGAATGAGGAGGAGAAAAAAAAATGGGGGAAGACACTGTAGAGTTCTACCCTAGAGAAATGACAAGGTAGAAGACTGGTCTGACTCAAGATTTCATTCTAAGTGCTTTGGAACAGGTAGGATTCAGAGCATTGCATCTTCTCAGAGCAGGTGCCTGAACAGAAGAAACCTTTTGTATAATTGCATAGTGATTAGAGTACTTGCTTAAGAAGTGGGAAGCTCAGTTAATTTTTTTGGACTGAGGAAAACTTTGAACCTCTCTCTCCTGGGAGAATGCCCTTGAGACTTCAGAACAAACCTGGGATGGAGGTCATGTCCAGCACATATGTTGAAACTGTGTTGAAATCCAGAGGAAAATGCAGACTTGGGAGGGGAGAGATATTCAGCAAGAAGTATATAATGTTACTTATTTTGTTTAGTAATGTTAATTGCACTTGCTATTAAACATTCTATTGGTGGGATGCATTTCGCTCAATAGCAGAAATATTCACTCAAGCCAAAATAAATACAGGGAAAAAAATATCTGTTTAGACACCAGTTCCTCCATTTCTTGAATTTCTTTTTCTGTTTTATCCCTTAGTGACATATTTCTGAATCAACTCCATGGCAGCATAAAGAATTAAGGGTGTTTTAAGCACGGTTTCTACCTGTATATTCACTTGCACATTTACTTGTTAGATCTACAGTAAGTATGGCAGTGATATCTTGTGCTGTCTTCAAACAGCTTAATTCAGGTACTGGAAGCCATCGCAGAGTTTCATGTCGGCTGAATTACCCCACTGAGTAGCTGAAAAGCCTGGTTAATTAGCTTCCTTGCCTGTCAGTCACTTGTTTTCATCTATTTCCTCACTTCAGCTAGTTCAGTCATAAAACTGTAATTTGTTTTCCTATGACTGTGAAGATGATACTCATAATTTATTCCTCCATCTACCCATTACAGTATATTCTTTTTCAATTTTGATTGATTATATTATAGAAGTTTTGCTTTAAATGGTCTATAATTTTATGAAGCTGGACAATTCATTTAGTAAGTGTGTGTGCAGCCTTTCAACAGTGACATCTACCTAGAGATTATGATGGCACACTGTTGATTTCAGTTCAGTTTAGTGATCATCTCATTACTAAACCTTCCTACTATGTATCTCACTCTCTATCATTTTCTATGTCTAGCTGCTGTAATTTTCAGGCATTTCTTCCTACTTCATAATTTCATTTTAAAACCCAGCAATGATTGCCAGTTGGAAGACCCTTACCCCTGTACTATGGTCTGTCACACAAAATCTTTTTTCACTAATCCATGTCTGCTGACATCAAAGCAGAATGGAGCAATTGTGACTTACAAAGAAATGTAAAATATTTAAAGGTCAAATGTTCTACTGTACATCACAATCTCATGTTTGTGGGGTTTTTTTTTAGATTATTGGCTGTTGTGAAATGCTCTATTTAAACTATTTCTTATTCCTCTATTTCGTAACAGAAGTTCTTCAGAGAAAGTGAAATATGTAGATTTTTCTCTTTGTTTTTAGATTTTAGAAAAATTTAAGAACTCAGATGTTGCTTTTAGAAACATTTTAATACCATGATCTTAAAGTTTTAGGGACAGAAAGAAAGAAAAGTTCTACCAAATTTAAAACACTGACCATTTTTTCAGTAAAGGTGAACAGCTCCTGCTTTGTGGAGCCATGAAAGGTGAGATGTCAGAAATATCACAGATGGAGGAATAAGTATTGCATGTAATGATGTCAAAATTTGTGAGGAAATTAAAAACATATATTTAAATCTTGCATTTTAAAGTTTCCATTTATTAAAGAAACATTAAAACTCCATGAGAGTTTTTTTGTGAATAAAATGTATTCCACAAGGAGATGGATTTCTGTTAATAGGAAAGTATTTCTTTTTTCTCTGAACGACTGTAGTATACTGTTGGACTTTTTTTCTGATCTATCTCTTTCACTGCTAGCAATTCACAAAAGATTGCCTGGTACCTAGGTACGCCAAAACCAATGAATGATCACCAGGGAGATCTATCATAAAATTCATTATTGGATTAGCTGTGGAGAATTAACAAATTTTTTGCCTCCTTTCTTCCTCCTTTTCTTCCAGACATCATGTAGTGCTTGTAATCCAGGTCCTACAAGTAGAGACAATAGAGACCTGCTCTGAGCAGGCTGCAGCTGTATCTCAAATTAAATTTAATATTTTCATTATTATTACTTTTATTATTGAATTAGGAATTGGCTTCATTACTTTACTGTGTTTCTTTTGCTCTGAATGACCTAGAATGGATAAATGTGTTTCTTTTATTTGCAGCAATAAGCTGGTCACACTTAAAAGTATTAGCATCACCACACAATATTGTGTCCCTTTCAAAGGTCAAGTGCAAAAAAGACCTTGATTTTTTAAGCAAACTTATTTCTCATGTTTGTGGGTTGTTACTTGCAGAGGGCATCTGATGCTGTAAGCATAACCCCCTAAATCTTTAAGTCCTGTGCTTTATGCAAATGTAATTTTTTGGTAGTAAGGAAAAGTATATTCTAGTAGACAGCTGTCAGATCTTGCTCCTTAAACACTGCTTATCATCACCAAGGTTACTATTTATAGCTGTCTGACGGATAACAGTGGATTAGGCTGAGGTAAAATGCAGGACAGGCTTTTTATGTGTATAGGTAAAACTTTTCACCTCTTAATCATATGGCACTGCAAAAGAAAACATTGCCAAAAGAGCAGAGCAGTAACATGGCTTCCAATATTGCTATTAGGAGTCATAGCTATTGTTTTACATGACTAGGTGATGATCCCACCTAATTAACTCTCAGCAGTGAGCTCTAACATGAGCTGAAATTCTTTTTTCAGAAAAAGTGTACCTCATATTCATATATGAATATGCAAACATATTCAGTTTCATTCCTGTTTAATCCTAAATTAAAACAGTATCCAGCATAACTGATTCTGTGATTCTATTATTACTTGGGATGTTGCCACTAATTTTAAAGGCTTTTTGAAAGGTTAACCTTGGCTAGCAACAAAAGCAAAATATATAACTGCAGCAATCTTTCATTGCAAGCTAGGATTAATTTCTGTTAATATATTTGTATAAATTCCCTTTTTTTTTTAAATCCCCCTAGATATTGGCAAATGTAATAATTTTTATCTGCGGGAACTTGGCAGGAGCATACCACAAACACCTCATGGAACTTGCACTGCAGCAGACGTATCAGGACACGTGCAACTGCATCAAATCCCGTATCAAGCTAGAATTTGAGAAGAGGCAACAGGTAAAGTAACATCCATGTCTGGGTCTGTTTTTCTGTTTTCTTGCTGTTCCCCTATTTGTTAGTACATAATCCAGATTGTTAATGGGAAAACATTCCTTGAATTACTTAAACTTCATGAAATATGCGAAGTCTTTTGAACATGGTTGTGCACAATTTCCATCTGAAAGAAAAGTGTTACAGTTATTTCTGTTGTCAAATTACATTTTTTCTCACTTGTTCTATGAAAAGATTTTATGATAAAGAAACATAAAAATGCTGTATAGATCCTATTTGCACACCATCTCTTTTGTTGTCCTCATGGAATGAGCTGTGAGATGTACATGTGCTTTTGGGAATCTTCAGTTCTTCATGCCTAAGACTGGTGCTGCAAATCACTGCGGGAAGATACTACTGCACTCTTTTTGAAAAATACTTGAATCCACAATACTGATGAATCATGTGATATAGTTCTAGAGGTGAGGTTTGTTAAGAGGAGCTAGGGAAATTGCGTAATGATACTGTCATTTATTGCAGCTTGAGTAAAAGAATTCTCTGATTGCTTTATATAGTTCTTTTTCTGTTTGCAAGTTCTGTACAGTGCCTACCATCCTGGCAGATAGGTGCTTCATTTAAGAGAATTTGAAACACAAATCACTTCATCGAGTAGTAAAGAAGATAGGTGTATTTTGCTTTGAAGGTCACCAAGACTCGAATTTCTGTGAACTGTTAAGGATCAGAGAATGGAGTCTTCACTGCCAGGTGTCTGTGGTAAGAGAAAGTGCTTGGTGTGCACCTTTTGTGTCCCAGCTGGCCTTAACTGTCATGTCTGTCTCACAAATGCCTGTAGCTATTTTAAATTAAGGTTTTCAAGATCCATCACCAACACTTTTTTCTTAAAAAAAGCAAGTGGAAAGTCCACAAAAGGACTTCAATAGGTCATGTGTTCAGAGGGCTGTCCTTACTCTGCTGGGCACTTGGGTTGCATTCTGGCTGAAGTTGCTACAAAACATTTCAAGTATTCTTAAGGAGAACAGTTCACAGTAAAAGCAAGTTTTGATGATTAGATGCAAAATTTGCATAAGCTGCTATTTCAGTAGAGGTTTTTAAGAGCAGTCATTTATGTTTGCACCTCTGCCTCCACAGCTGTGTGCAGGGAATGGGTGGACTTTGAGCTCAGTTGTAACAGCCTGGGTTTCTACTATTGGTTGCTTTTCCTTCCAAACTTAGGAAACACATTGGTTTATCTGCAAGAAGCAGGTGGGTTGTGTTACTAGACAATGAATTCAATGAAATAAGGATGCTTTTTGGAAGACAATATTAATAGCAGACATGGTTCTAGTTGATGTTTTCTGCAAATGTGTTATTATTTTGCTAAACGTTACTAGTTTCTATGGAAAGACATAAGTAAGTAGCTTTGGTGTATGGTCACTTCTGGGAACCTGACAGTGAGGAGAAGCAAAACAATCAGGGATTCAATGACAAATACTCCCTCTTTGGGATCTGTAGTACTTGTGTTTTAAAAATGCTGTAGCCTAGCAAGATGGAAAGAAGAAAAAAACATCTTTCACCAATAAATGTTATTGTTTTTATAGAGTAATCAAGGAAACTGTACATCATTTGTTATATATATATATATATATATATATATATATTTGTGTGTTGTCATGTTTGCCTTTTGTTCAGAATAAATCTATCAAATTAGTTAAGACATCTTCACAGCCCTAAGCAATGTATCGCAGGGATGGATTAGTAACAGATGGGTCAATGTCTTACTGAACAAAAGTCTAGTATTCTGTGGAAGACAGGGATCTCACCTCCAGCGAGCTCAAAAAGAGCTCATTAGATATTCAGATCTTCTTCTATAGATTTCTTTGGCCTTTATCCCTTCAACCCCTTAATATATGTCCCTTATCTCCTGTCAAGGTTTTTTCAACTGAAAACCAAGTTCCTCCATATTACCACACTTAGGAACGTTAGATATTTAAATATGAAAAGGTAAAATGAGGATTCATTTTATAAGGTGGCTGGGTTTTTTCCCCCCAGGATTAACACATATCTTTGTTTGCAGACATTAGTTCAGAAGTGAATATACTCTAGTCTGTCTTTTAACACTGCTTGTTTTGTCAAGAAGATACTAAAGATCATCCACACTGTTAGTATTCAAGAAGCAAGTCAATCATATTGGTGACTGTTTTTAGAGAACGGGGATACAATGAAATAGTAAGAACACAGTGCATTTCAAAAAGCATTGGTTTTGATCAAAGCCTTTATTAGCCTGTAAAGAGTTGTACATTGACCCTTGATTCTACATCTCTGTAACAGGAAAAAAAAAATAATTTAGTTCCATTTACTTGACATAGGCTACTTTTGTACAAGTGCAGAGCGTAGGATGTGCTTCTAAATGATTAAGGCTCCAGGTCAAATTTGCACACTTTTCGAGATCATGGAAGTCGTGTATTTTATAATTGTTTTTGAAAGATGTACTATTTTTCTTTCAAAATAGTCTGTGAATTTCCATTTATATTATTTGCGAGTAGGCTCATACAAATGTAGACAACTATTGTTTTTCAGTTATTGGGGTCTTTTTGTGTGTCTTTGAATAGCCTTTTTTTAGGACACCGCTTTGGTAGATCAGTAGATAAATATATTAAAATATGACTCAACAATTATGCCAAAGAACTCAAGAGAAACCGCAGATCCATTGTTTTCAAGTGTGACCAATGTACATTAGAATCTGGTGAAATATGGGGGTAAATGTATACTGAGGTACAATTTGGACATAGTGTATCTGTACCACTGTGTATTTCTGATGCTGGGGCACAGCAAAGGCTGGCTGCTCCCAAAGGGATGGGAAGCTGCAGGTGGTGACACCTCCCAGCAGGGCAGGGGCCACTTTTGAACTCCTGTGGTAAAAAGCAGTATTTTCAAAGCCCACTTAGGTATTTCTCATACACCTTTTATGTCTTTTCAGTGTTTTTAAAAGAGAGATGTTGAACTATTCTGACCTCTTTTTAATTTGCAGTCTTATTCCAAGATACATATTTGAAAAAGCCTCTCATGATGTTATTTGTCTCCCTGATAGAAGTCTGGCTGACAGTTTGTAGGGGTAACGAATCACTAGTGCTGAGTGCAACATCTTAATGCTGACACCAGTATAATTGCTCTTCTCTTTCTTCTGGGGCTTTGCATCCTGAGACACAGCGATATACACTGAGAGGTTCTTACAACATTGCACAGAGCTGTTTGTGAGGTGTTGGTGTTCAGTGAGTTTTCTGAAATGCCATCTCTGAGAAGGAGGCAGTATAATGATGGTTTTAGAAACAACACTCAGGTAGCAGATGAAAATGAATGAGGTTTCAAATCATTGAGCATGATTTTAATTTTTTCACTAAACATGGTGAAGCAATGCCATTCATTAAAGGAACTTAAATATTTCAAATTTTTTTTATTTTAATCTAAACAGAGAAGCCTTATATATAAGCTTAAGGGTGTTAGTAAAGAACAGAAACATTGAAATACATTATTTGGAACTAATATATGAAATGTGGATTCTTGCAAGTTTAATTAATGAATTTTAAAAGGTAAGCTACTAATATTTTCATGAATATACAATAATTTTTCTAAGAGCTTCCTCATTTTCCTTTTCCTTGTAGCTTCAAGGCTAGTAAACACAAAAAACAAAACTAGTGTTGGTCTTTTAAATTTTAGACTCCATTTTTTACTTCAGCAGTGCTTGTATGCATACAGATGTGTGATGCCAGTCCTTTCTGTCAATCAATGTGTCAAGACTAGAAATAAAGCCTGTTCTGAGAAAATGTTGAATTTTGCATGGTGGACCATGGGAAAGATGGATAGAATATGCAAAAAGAAACTGGACAGGGTTCACTGAAGGGCTACAAGGGTGCTTAGTGGACTGCTGGTCATGACAGATGATGAGACTTGAGGAACTCAAGGTATTTAGCCTAGAGAAGAAAAGGCTTGTAATTCTATTCCAGTTAAGGCTGTACACTACTGTCCCCCAGTCCTATTACCCCAGAAGGATTGTTTGTTCCATAGAATCAGGCCTTAGGTACTCCCAGAGCTAAGCCAATGTAGAGAGGCAACAAGCACGTGGCCACCAGACAACTGCTGCCACAATTAAAAATCAGGCAAGGCAAACTCAGAAAAGTGTGGAGACCCAGTATTGAATACAGAGCTTATGATGTTGTAAAACTTTATTTCCTGGGCTTCAGAAGCCCTGAGCAACTTAATCTGATTTTGAAATTAACCATGTTTGGAACAAGTTATGGGACTACGATCTCAAGAGGTCACTTCCAATCTGAATTTTTCAGTGAGTCTCTGTTTTTTTTAGTGTCTTTCCTGTAAGAGAGTGCTATGACATACAGGAATACTATGATTTCAGATAGAAAGAAATAAAAAGGTAAATATCACTTTGAATCATATCCTATAATTGCAAATTAATGGTTTTTGAATCAACAAAAATTCCTATCAGGTGCTGCTGATTTTTTTTACAAGTTTCTCGTACTGACTCTGCTTGGAAATCTAATTCCAGGAATAATGTAGCTATTTTTTCTCCTAATTATTGATGAGAATAATAGTAATTTTACAAGAGGAATATGTGTTTGTTAAGAAAAGTTGAGTGATCTGAGAGATTAAATAGATACCCGTTGTTACTTCATTATGTTCAGATTGTCCAGTCACTGAAGAATTTGAAATAGACTAAATAGTCATGATAATGCTACAATAACAAGAGTCTGCAATTAACTTCCCCCCAACGCTCAATATTTAGTACAAATCTGAAACTTTGATTTCAAGTTGTATGTCACAACCAAGACCTGCAGACTAAAAAGCTGTAACAAATGTAGGGTTGAAAGGTACAAAGGCTTCATGTATGCATGGCAGACCAGAGCTTTTGTAAGGTAGAAAAGATATTCAGTTCCTTGCCTGCAAAAGGATGATGTACTGCATTAATAACCTGCATCTTGTCTATATCCCTGGAGTTATTCTTTCACAATACTTCA